AGTTATTTGCTTTTAAAATTTTAAAAAAAGCAAACCCTAAAAAAACCCTAATTTAATTCTGTAAATGCGCCCATATGTATTATGAGTCCTTTGATCAAGTTCAGAAATGTTTATATGAATATAAATTGATAATTTTTTATATTTTCTGTTGGTAGATCAGAAATATGGCGAAAATGAAAAACATAAAAATTTACTTGATTAAGCATAGTCTTTAGACTTTGTATAGTAGCTACGTTGAGATTAGAGTTAGAAATAATGTTTGTTCTATGTTGCAACTTGTGATGTGTGTCCCATATGTATATCAGCAAAAAATATGGTGTGGTACCAAGATCTGGTAGCAAAGAACCAATTCTATAATAAAATGAACCTTGGACATGAAATGTATAAACTCCATTTCTTGTATTTGCAAGCTCACACCTTAACACCTAGAGAGGTAAATGCAAATACAGAGTTGTAAAGCTGAATTTTTGACATAAACTCATCTTCTTGATTAGAAAAAAGATGTTGTATCAATTGTGGTGAATCAGGTTTCGATAATATGATTTTTCTATTAGCACAACACATTCTTGAGCTTTCTATTGATAATTTCAGAGCATTTCAGTGGTTATAGGTAAGACTATTGGTCATATTAATTATGTGTAGAATATGATAACTGCTATTATTTTTAGAATAGCAACAGGCAAACTTGTATAGTTGAGGATTGTTGACACGTTACTGTTGATTGGCTGCTGCATTACATTTATTACATTGCTGATATTCTTCTTCAGTTTCTTCAGATCTTTATTGATGCTTAGCTTCTCTATCCTGTTGTTGTCATACTTTACATTTTTCTGTAGTTTTTTTTGCTTTACTTCTACGTTTTTGAGCAGCATTAGCTTCATGTTGTTCTTGTATAGACAAAATATTTGTATTTTGTGGTATGAGTAAAATGGTCACAAAGATTGGTAAAAATATGAAAAAATTATTAAATTAACTAATTAGTAAAAAATCATATGCACAAGGTGTTTAAATATTTTATTTATTTTTTTTTTTTTTGGTGTTAAGGTAGCCTCTTGGCCGGCTTCTTTTATTCGGTTATAGTTAACTTTTACAATATGCGTTTATAGCATCTCGTATACATATTT